GGAGCTGGCAGGGAGACAGACATTGCTGATGATACAGAGAGCTATGATCACTCCTCTGAAACCGTTTATTAATCTAAATTAACTTAAAATGCAGAAACCTGCCGACAAAACATGTTCGCTTTTATTACCCTGGTGCCTGCAGTACATGAAAACCACTTTCCAGCCGCCGCGGCGAACTGCTAGGAGGCGAACGGGCCATAGGCTGCTGTTGAACGGGATTCCTACTGACAGGGCACTGCCGGTATGTGGGGGTCTGAGCGGCCCCGACAGAAATAATATTGGAAGGCAGGGTGGTTATCTGGATGAACTGACTGCAGTGATTATGTTCTCAGGTTGATTTTCCCACTTAAAAACTTCTTAAAACTACTTTATTACCACTGATCACAGCAAATATAGCTGCAAGGCAAAGAAAGGATAGAGTAGCGCCGCCAGACGCACGTCAGACCCACTTTTCAACCGCGCAGCTAGAGCAGCAAAGCTGCTTCAGCTGCGCCTCAGAACTAAACTGGTACAAGCAGCAAAAAGGAAGCAGCAGATGCGTTTTTGCTGTTCCTGCTGTGTTTGGTGTGAACGCAGTTTATTAACGAAAACAGTCAGATAAACACAAATCAAATGATAATTTTGCCAAATAAAACAAAAAATCGCCATCAGAGCTAGCGGTCCTTCACATGGCTATTCCGAAAGAGGGCTGCTGCAGACGGGCTGCGATTAGCCTTGGCTGCTGTTACCCTTGGAGCTCTGCTGGTTGCCGCGGCCCTCTCAACTTCGGAAATCTTTTTTTTATTACACAATAAATCAGTAAATGGACTATAAAGTGACAATATAAAGTATAATATTCTCGGCTCAAATGATCTTAAAACATACTTTTTTTGAACAACAGCAACAGAAAAGAGAACTTTTAACTTTCAATGGAGCGCTTCATTGAAAGCTACTGCTGCCGTGGTGCATGCTGGGACAGCTGTCAATCACAAGAACGGACAAGTCTGCTCTGATGCATACTCAATAAAGAGGGCGGGGCGAGAACAACATCTGGGTATTTGGTGCATTCTCGGTCTGGCGTTCTCTGCAATTGGAACAGGGCTCGGGCTGAAGCTGATGAAGTATCACAAGTACACGAGCACACAAGAACGCTCAAGAACATATATTGAGAAACGGCCTGTGTGTGGTCTGAGGGTGCCATGGAGAAATTCCAAGACTGTTTTGAATGCTCTGACTGGAACATCTTCAAGGCTGCAGCAACATATGTCAACTTGTTAAATATTGATGATTATGCCATGACTGTGTCAGCCTACATTAACAAATGCATTGAGGACGTCAGCATCAAAAAGAACATCACCACCAGGGGAGACCAATGACCCTGGAAATTGTTAAAAGCATGGAACTCAGAGGAACTCACATGCCAACTTGAACCGTGCCATTAGATCACCGAAGTAGAACCACAGCCAGAAGATCCAGGATCTCTTCCATGATAACAGCAACACCAGGAGGATTTGGAAAGGCATTCGGACGATCATGGACTACAACACACCCTTCCCCCCCAGTAGATGCAGCAAACACTGACTTCCTAAATAAACTGAACAACTTATCTGGAAGGTTTGAGGCACTTCTTAATGTGGACCCCAGGAAGACTAGCTGTTTGCCATGGCAACAGCTAATGGGGATCCTTAATAAAATTACAATTAATAAAATTACAATTACTTAACAGCACTCCAACAGTGAAAGCCATTCCACACCAGGAGGAGGAGACACTAAACCTGGATGTAGGTGAAGTGAGGAAAACTCTAGGGAGAGTCAACCCAAGGAAGGCCCCAGGGCCTGATAACATACCTGGGCGGTTGTACAAGGAGTGTGCAGATCAGCTGGCTGGTGTCCTCACAGACATTTTTAACATCTCGCTGAACCGATCCTTAGTGCAAACATGCTTCAAGTCTGCCACCATTAACTGGGTCCCAAAGAAGCCTCAGGTGACCTCACAAAATGATTACAGGCCTGTCGCACTGACTCCAATCATGATGAAGTACTTCGAAAGGCTGGTTAAAGAACACGTCGTCTCCAGTCTGCAGCCGACATTCGACTCGTTCCAGTTCGCCTACTGACAAAACCGGCAGGCGTCCTCCACTGAGGATGCCCTCTCTGCTGCTCTCCACCTGAGCCTGGCACACTTGGAGGAGAACACCCATGTGCAGATGTTTTTCCTGGACTTCAGTTAAGCTTTCAACACCATCTTCTCACAGCATCTGATGGGCAAACTGGAACAGCTGGGCTTCAATACACCCCTCTGCAATTGGCTGCTAGACTTCCTCACCAACAGACCTTAGTCAGTCAGAGTTGGACAGAACACCTCTGATGTCATCAGTCTAAGCACAGGCTCCCCTCAGCGCTGTTCACCCTGATGACATATGACTGTGTCCCCAGGTTCATCACCATTCACATCGTGATGTTTACAGACAACACCACGGTGGTAGGCCAGAACGACTAGAACTACAGAGAGGAGGTGGAGCAGCTGGACTGGTGCAAAAATGACAGCCTGATCCTGAATGTGGAGAAGACAAAGGAGATCAACTTGGACTTCAGGAAGAACCGGCCTAACCACGCTCCACTGGTCATCAACAGCTCAGCTGTAGAGGTGATCAACAGCACCAAATTCCTGGGGGTGCACATTACAGATACCTTCAACTGGAATTTAAACACCACCTCACTGATCAAAAGGGCATAAAAGCGCATTTACTTATTGCGAGAGCCCACCTGCCCCCACCTATCCTCACCACCTTCTACAGAAGCACCAAAGAGAGCGTTTTGACCAGCTGTCTCACTGTGTGGTTTGGAGGCTGCAGCGCCTCAGACTGGAGGAAGGTAAGAAGAGTGGTAAGAACAGCAGAAAAGATCATTGGGACCCCTCTTCCCTCCATTAAAGACATTTTATCCCAGTGCAGCTGAGCCCTTTAATATTATAAATGACCCCCCACACCCCCACCATGGACTATTCTCCCTGCTGCTCTCTGTTAAGAGACCTCGAAGCTTCTGATGCAGCCCCAGTAAATTCCAGAACAGTTTCTTCCCCACTGCAATTTCAATCTGAAAAACTCACAGAGAGAGAAAGATGCAATTAGAAGAGTTTTATTGATACAATAGTTTGAACTTTGGCGCTCAGGCCTCGGCAGGAAACATAAACGCTGATTTATACTTTAATGCAGATAAACTGATGTATGAGAATATGGATATCCCCCGGGCCTGAAACTGGTGGTGGAGTTTAGATAGATGAAGTTTGGTTAATCCATAGAGGCTGGTATACAGGGTGATGCTTGAGTTAGATGACACTGAATGAACAAAGTTTGCATGAACTGTCCATGAACTGTCAATGAAGAGCAAGCATGAAGTGACTGTGGAGAGAAAAAACTCCCCTTGGGAAGAAACCTTTGGCAGAACCAGGCTCAACATGGCGGTCTTCTGCCGGACCGTTTTAAAGTGACAGGGAACTCCATGAAAGTCTGGAGGGACTACACACTGGAGGTGAGGTTGAAGGAGCATCGAGGAGAAGTCGGATGAGCTTACTACAATGGTGGGGAAGGGGATGGAGGTGGGTTGTCTGAATAAAAGTCAGACATAGGAGCGACGGTTCTTGCGCTTGCTGAAGAGCAGGCCGAGAGATGATTTTGGAGTTGCTTTTAAGGTGAGTGCTGGATGATGATTGGGCATCGAGGAGATGTAGCTTGAAGCGGATTGGCTGCATCGGAGGCAGATCAGCCTCAGATTGAATGGAAGTAATCAGAGTTTCTTCAGTTGAATTTCCGCCTTAGCTTCATTAGACTGCTGAATGTTATGTAAAATGGGTTATAAAAACTAAACAAACAAAAAAAACAAAGTTGTAGCTATACAGGATTAGGGCCACTGAAAAAAAAAGTTAACAGATTTGTTTAATTATTTCAGTTTAATATGGGGAAAAAAGTCAGAATTCTTACTTTTTTTTTTTAGAAGTCTGACTTATCTCAGAATTCTGACTGAATTCTCACAGCTTACAAACATGTTAAATCAAGCCGTAGCCATGTCTGTTTTAGAGACTAGCTCTCTTGTTTTAATGACCTTCTGCCCCTCCATTAATGAAGGGACCCCCTCGGGCACGTAAAAAGTTGCCTAATTTTGTAATTTTCCACCAATGTGTCACTGGCCTTCTCAAACAACTCACATCTTTGTCAGTGAAGCTGAACGCTCCCACATCTCTTCCTTCATGGTGCCCATCTACATTAAGATCCAACATTCTGAGATAAAAGTCAGAATTCTGAGAAAAAAGTCAGAATTCTGACTTTTTACCATATTACACTGAAATAAAATTTAAAAATCAGTTAACTTTTTTTTTTTATTTCAGTGGCCCTAATCCTCTTCCGTACATTACTGTTTTTCATCACAATGTTTTTTTTTTATCGCTGCTGCTTACCTTATTTAGGCTGCCCTTTAAAAGCTGAAATTGTCTAGAGAGCTTTTCTTAATGAAATTTCTTTTTGTTTACACTTGTGTATACCAAATAAATCTGTCTAAGTCCATCAAAATGATGTTTTCACTGAACTGGCATAAACCAGTTTCAAACTGGCATATGCTGGTTAACTGGCATATACTATTTTTCAAAACTGGCTCACGCTGTCACTGAATTCTGACCTTGTTTTTTTGTTTTTTTGTTTTTTTTTAACAAGCATCAATATTCTGTTTAAGCTGTAAGCCAGGAAAGTATGTTACAGTCATAACACTCAAAAAAGCACTTTTTTATCTTTAAAGAGAATTGGCTTCATTTCAAACATTTTGCAAAAGTGAAATGGAAATGAGCAACATGATGCTGTGGAATATTAAGTGTGACATCACTTCAAGTATTTTCAATGTAATAAAAATTATTAATTAGCCTTTGATGTGTCAAATGTATCTATTAGATTAATTTGATATAATAAAATCATGAAGGTCTTGTAGAAGTCAGTTCATTGTCAGTGTAGTGTAGATGTTAATATTTTAAAAATAAGAAAAAATAGTGCAATGTTTCCAGCTTATATATGATTTATTTTTGTTTTACATCTTTGATTACATTGCTTTTTCAACATTCAATATACCCAATGCTGACAACATAAAATCAACTTCCATTCAGTGAAGGTAATTAGTGATACTTTAATAAACTCTGAACAAAGACCAATACAATTCGACAAAGTTTTGCTGAAGGCAGCCTTTTAGAGAAAGTAGAGACTGTTTGACTTTTGCATTGATTGCAGTTTTAGGGTTTTAGTGGATCGTTTATTGCCCTGTTTTCTTCAAGAATTTTCCATCCAATCGTAAATTTCCTTAATCCATCAGGAGTTTGTACAGGTAAAGATTTATAGACTTCCAGAAATATACATGCATCATCCAAAACACGAACCTGTAGGATATATTAAATGACCTTAGTTCAAGCACATCTTGATAGTTACTTCACGTTAAGTTATGGTATGCAATAAAAGATGTTTCTTACTGTAATTATGTAATATTTTCCGTCCACTATCTTGTCACAGTATTCAACTGCTCTGAATTCCTTGAAGTGTTTTGAAGTAGCATACTCAATTTCACTCTTCAGCTGTGGAGTAATGAAATGAAACAATACAATAAATTGTTTTGGATTAACTATTTTGCTAAAAACTAAAACCTAATTATGACAAAAAAGAAAAACAGAAGAGGGAAATTTAATATGCATTTTTTGTTTATCAATGTTTACCATGGAACACATCCCCTGGATTTCATCCGTTGCAGGTTTTTCTTCTGAGAATCCTCCAAACTTATCCATTCTGATTTTGATTTCTGCTTTCACTACAGATAAAGCATCTGCTGATATCTTCCCCAAATGCTTAATATGGGGCCAAAATGGTAGCTTTAATATTTGCAAATGTGTGAGGAGATTTGTGTGTCTGTACAACAATCTGCAAATGTGTAAAACTACTTGTGTGTAATCCGTTTTGCAAATGTGTAAAAAATCCACAAATCTGTATTCAGATCTGCAAATGTGTACTGAGATTTGCAAATGTGTAAAATATCCACAAATCTGTATTCAGATCCACAAATGTGTACTGAGACTTGCAAATGTGTAGATCAATCTGTAAGCACACACAGAGACACTTGTGTCTGAAGTATTTTCGCTTCAAGACCCAGAAATACAGACAAATCATTGGTTACAAGTCAAGCGGTTTTTCGGTTGGCTCTCTATGGAAGCCCGTTTCCGCCACTCTGTAAAAAAAAAAAAAAAAAAAAAAAAACTATCTCAATATAATGAGTTACTATCTCATTATAATGAGATACTATCTCATTATAATGAGATAGTATCTCATTATATTGAGTTACTATCTCATTATAATGAGATACTATCTCATTATAATGAGATAGTAACTCAATATAATGAGATAGTATCTCATTATAATGAGATAGTAACTCATTATAATGAGATACTATCTCATTATAATGAGATACTAAATATTTTTTATTTTTTACCAATTTTTAAGTTAAAATTGAGTATTTTTGGTCAATAGCTCCCAGGTCATGTGACCTATTGATGCAAAATCAGTGTGAAATTGTTCTACTAGTCTCTGTAGATGGGGCACACTCATTTGTTTGGCATTTTAACTCTTTTTTTAATTTTTTTACCAATTTTTTTAGTTAAAATTGAGTATTTTTCGTCAATAGCTCCCAGGTCATGTGACCTATGGACCCAAAATCAGTGTGAAATGGTTCTACTAGTCTCTGTAGATGGGGCACACTTATTTGTTTTTCATTTTAACTCTTTTTTTATTTTTTACCAACTTTTTAAGTTAAAATTGAGTATTTTTGGTCAATAGCTCCCAGGTCATGTGACCTATTGACCCAAAATCAGTGTGAATTGTTGGGTCCCCCCTTACATGGGCCCACCACCCGTGAGAGGGGCCATAAGGGTCGTATGCAATGTGTGTTGGCCGGGGAAGGGGACCCTGGTGGTCCGATCTTCGGCTGCAGAAGCTGGCTCTTGGGATGTGGAATGTCACCTCGCTGGTGGGAAGGGACCGGAGCTAGTGTGTGAGGCTGAGAGGTTCCGGCTAGAAATAGTCTGTCTCACCTCGACGTATGGTTCTGGTTCTGGAACCAGTCTCCTATAGAGGGGCTGGACATACTTCCACTCTGGAGTTGCCCACAGTGAGAGGCGCTGGGCAGGAGTGGGCATACTTGTTGCCCCCCATCTCGGCGCCTGTACGTTGGGGTTCATCCCGGTGAATGAGAGGGCTCCGCCTAAGGGTGGGGGGGACGGGTTCTGACTGTTGTCTGTGCTAACGGGCCGAACAACAGTTCAGATTACCCACCCTTCTTGGAGTCCTTAGAGGGAGAACTGGAGGGGGCTCCTCCTGGGGACTCCCTTGTTCTGCTGGGAGACTTCAACGCTCACGTGGGCAATGACAGTGAGACCTGGAGGGGCATGGTTGGGAGGAATGGTCGCCCCGATCTGAACTCGAGTGGTGTTCTGTTGTTGGACTTCTGTGCTCGTCATGGATTGTCCATAACGAACACCATGTTCAAGCATAAGGGTGTCCATATGTGGTAAAAAATAAAAAAAGAGTTAAAATGCAAAACAAATGAGTGTGCCCCATTTACAGAGACTAGTAGAACAATTTCACACTGATTTTGGGTCAATAGGTCACATGACCTGGGAGCTATTGACCAAAAATACTCAATTTTAACTTAAAAAATTGGTTAAAAAAAATAAAAAAAAAGAGTTAAAATGAAAAACAAATGAGTGAGCCCCATCTACAGAGACTAGTAGAACAATTTCCAAGTGATTTTGCGTCAATAGGTCACATGATCTGGGAGCTATTGACCAAAAATACTCAATTTTAACTTACAAAATTGCTAAAAAATAAAAAAAAGAGTTAAAATGCAAAACAAATGAGTGTGCCCCATCTACAGAGACTAGTAGAACAATTTCACACTGATTTTGCATCAATAGGTCACATGACCTGGGAGCTATTGACCAAAAATACTCAATCTTAACTTAAAAAATTGGTTAAAAAAAAAAAAAAACTATCTCATTATATTGAGTTACTATCTCATTATAATGAGATAGTATCTCATTATATTGAGATACTATCTCATTGAGATAGTATCTCAATATAATGAGATAGTAACTCAATATAATGAGATAGTAACTCAATATAATGAGATACTATCTCATTATATTGAGTTACTATCTCATTATATTGAGATAGTTTTTTTTTTTTTTTTACAGAGTGGCGGAAACGGGCTTCCATACATTTGCAGATCTGAATACAGATTTGTGGATTTTTTACACATTTGCAAAACGGATTACACACAAGTAGTTTTACACATTTGCAGATTGTTGTACAGACACACAAATCTCCTCACACATTTACAGATTTATTTACACATTTTCAAATCCCACTGCACACGCACAAATCGAGATACAGACACACAACTCTCCACACACATTTGCAAATATTAAAGCTACCATTTTGGCCCCATAAAAAGGGATCAGCTTTGTGTTCAAGGACAGGCAACATCGCCTAATTGTTTTGTTCTTACGTGAAATACATGTTCGTTGTGTAATAAATAACAGAAACGTTTTGTGAATGAAGTTGAGAGTTAACAGCATAACTTGTTTTTATTCTTTGTCTGCTTATCTTTAAACACTGATTTAAGTATTGTAATTTTTCAACTGAGCAGTAATTTTACATCCATGCAAACTCAAATGTAATATTTAAAACTTGAATACATAAAATCAGTTACTTAACAATATGAGGCGTTGTTTAATTTATTTTTAACAATGTATTTCCATACATTTATGCTAGGGTTGACCAAGTCTAGTTTTCCAGACCTATCACTCTGCAACTTTAGATGCGTTCCTTCTCTAACTAACACACCTGGATCTTTGACTCATTCATAGGCCTCTATAGAACTGAGTTGCTGCTACTGAGGGAAGTCAACCTTTTGTCTGGGGTATGTTTTAGCAGGGACGAATCTATAAGTTGCAGTCTGTTGCAGTCTGGAGGATGGTATAAGTAATTCCTGATATATACCGTCAATGTGGCCCGTTGAGGGTGGCCAATATGCTGAAGTGGCCCTTGGTGAAATTGAGTTTGACACCCCTGACCTAGAGTATAAATATGCTTGAAAGCCAACTCAAGTTCAGTTTTGGTGAAAAGCTGCAAACAGAAGTAAAACAATGTCGTTTGGAGAATGGTCAGAACCCAAGCCCGTAGATGGAGATGTTTCCATGCTTTGTAAATGGGTAAGATTTTGTTTTTCTCTACAACTGTTGCCCTCTAAACTTTCTGCTCTAACACCTCTTTTTATTTGATTCTAACACAGATGAAGAACATCTCAGAGTCAAATACAAAAAAGAGTTATAAGGAGTTTGTTGCAGTTTCATACCGGAATCAGTCTGTGGCAGGGGAAAACATACTCGCCAAGGTAATAAACGATGCTTTTTCATACCATATCCCTCAAAAGATTTCAGTAGCAACAATAGATGTTTCTGGGCAAATATAATCTGAAAATTATAACTTTCATTGCTTGACAGTTAATCAATACATGTCAAGTATTTTATGTATCATAATTATTGAACAGGAAATTTCATAAAAAAAAAAGAATAGCATAATTAATTAGAGTTTTCTAATGATACTGCCATCTGTGGCCAAAACACACTACAGCAGTATGCTTTTAGTCATTCTCGTACTTAAAAATCGTTTTTTTTTTCTCACGTTATGTCAAGTTTTTTTTTAATAATCTTTTTAGGATTTAGTTGCCTTTATTTTTGTAAGGTGTAGTTGGTAGATAGGAAATGGGAGTAGAGAAAGGGGAAAGACACATGGCAAAGGTCACCAGGCCAGGACTTGAACCTTTGGTCATGTACCTAACCCATGCACCACTGGCGCACCGCGCCTGACCTGCGGTTTCCAGCTGTGTTGGTGTTGATTGTAAATACTGCATCATCAAGCGTTCTGTCCTGTTGTGTTAGTGGCCTACACAATGCTGTGACTTATATATTTTTTGAAAAATGTACCAACCTTTAAACTATTGTTTGATTTTATCTGATATTCACTAGCCATCAGTCAATGCATTTCATACATCCTCTTCTTCCTGAAGCAGATAAATTAGGAAGTCTAAAGCTGTCTTGTCCAAGTATCAGGTCAGGATAATCTTTGTATCCAACATTTTTTTTCCTTCTCTAAAAGCAAAAGAAACAATGCAATGGTCATTTCCATTTTAGAAGTAATAATAATCATCTTTGCCATACCCCATGAAGGCAGCCTTATTATGCACAAAATCCATCTTCAATATAATGCTTTAAAGGAGAAGTTCGGTTTTTTACACTTTAAGCCCATTTTCTGTAGTGTCCAGGATGAAATCGAATGATCGACACCAAAAGTTTGACAATTGGTCCTGTCTCTGCTTTTTGGCTCATTTAGAATCCACCCCTGGCTGCTTTAGAATGGCTTGCATAGAGCATGTCCGATAATGTCCTTAAAACAACCTTAAACGTTCTTTTTTTAAAATATGCTACTCACCGGGTCGTCAGCGCTGTTCAATGACGTTCCAAAAAAAGTTTCGTAAAGAAAAAACGTTCCTGTAGTGTTTTATTTAGCATTTTGTAAATCCCCATTGAGTTCTGTAGGAATAGTCAATATTCCCCTGCCACCGGAAACGGAAATGGGGCCTGTTTACACAGTTGTAGTCTTTTCGCTTCACTCTGTGTACTCCGACGTCGAGGTGCTAACGTCTCTGTTAAACACTTTAAAAAACTCTGAAAATGGAATACGAAAGGTGGATTCTTGATTCTCGACGTCGGAGTACACAGAGTGAAGCGAAAAGACTACAACTGTGTAAACAGACCCCATTTCCGTTTCCGGCAGAGATGGGAAGTAACGAAGTACCAATACTTTGTTACTGTACTCAAGTAGATTTTTCTGATATTTTTACTTTACTTTACTACTTATTTTTATGGTGACTTTTTACTTCTACTCCTTACATTTTTACACAAATATCTGTACTTTCTACTCCTTACATTTTAAAAAATTGGCTCGTTACTTTAGTTTTGAATCATTTCAATGGAGTTACCGTTATTATTTTTCACGTCATCAATACCAAATTCAATCTAATTGGATGGGAATCTACGTTGCATTTGACGCACCACTACAAGATGAATCGACAGATTCGGCGGTATTCATTGGCGGCAAATCATTGCAGCTTGGTGGCGGTGGCGTTAGCATAGTAGCATGGACGACGAGATGATTGAAAATGAACACAACGGAGATCTAGTCCTATTGGCAGACATCCATTTAAAATGTAGGCAACGGCATGAAAAAAGTGGTTTCTACTTTTACTTTTATACTTTAAGTAAATTTACAAGCCTGTACTTTGTTACTTTTACTTGAGTAAAGAAGTTTAATCAGTACTTCCACTTTTACCAGAGTATTTTTTAACACAAGTATCTGTACTTTTACTCAAGTATGGAAAGTGAGTACTTTTGCCATCTCTGGTTTCCGGTGGCAGGGGAATATTGACTATTCCTACAGAACTCAATGGGATTTACAAAATGCTAAATAAAACACTACAGGAACGTTTTTTCTTTACGAAACTTTTTTTGGAACGTCATTGAACAGCGCTGACGACCCGGTGAGTAGCATATTTTAAAAAAAGAACGTTTAAGGTTGTTTTAAGGACATTATCGGACATGCTCTATGCAAGCAATTCTAAAGCAGTCAGGGGGTGATTCTAAATGAGCCAAAAAGCAGAGACAGGAGCAATTGTCAAACTTTTGGTGTCGATCATTCGATTTCATCCTGGACACTACAGAAAATGGGCTTAAAGTGTAAAAAACCGAACTTCTCCTTTAATTGTTTGCAAGCTCGGGATCCGTTTGATGTCATATCCGCCAAACAGCAAAGGACCATTCAGGAAAATATGCTACAGGCTTATAGATGCATTGGCACTGAACTGCTAAATGTTTTAGTTGCAAAGGTTCAAATAAAAAGACTATTTTAAGTATATCTTTCAGCAAAAATGTACAAAATATTCCCTTGAAGAGCACCTTAATCCAATGAATCTAATGTAAATTAGACTATGCCAGGACCAAAATGCAAACAGATGACTAAAACTGATGAACACTGGTTTTTATGAATAAATGCAAAGCTCCTAATTTAAACTTATAAAAAGAAGATTATAAAGAAGTGAAAAAAAATAAATTTCTAGTCCTTTCAAAGGATCATTTGTATTCTCTTCTCTCTACAGGTTTGGGTTGGAGAAAACAAGTACGTCCATCTGATGATCTTCCAAGGTCCTCTGCTAGAGGACACATTTACGATCAAGTTTTTGGGAGTGAAGGATGACTACAAATGGGAAGATCCTCTTGAACCCTTTATTTAACCCCTCTGTCTAAAGTGAAAGCCTTGTTGAGCCTCCTCCAACTGGCTGCTTAAAAAGAAAATGTGTTTGTGTTCTTGTTATGAGCAAACTTATCACAAAAATTTTCAGTTACAAGGGTTAAGTCAAATCTTTGTAAGACTCGTGAATTATCAATAAACATGAATCAATTATTTTATTTGTATTATGTTAGAGAAAAAATAAGTGTATGCCACATAAATGTTCAGTGACATTTTTTTAGAAACTAAATAAGAAAATACAGGAAAAAGTATAGAGGAGGGATTATTATTGAGAACCAATCAGCCCACTTGATTGGTAACAGGGAGGAATAGCAGCACTTGAAGCTAGCACGGCTTTATGGATCAGAGAGGAGCTGTCATATATACTACACACCTAAAGTTGTTTCCATGTTACCCTGGAGCATTTGTAAGCAAAAAACATGTTTTAGTACGATGGTCGACCCATACATGTTTTATTTTGCCACAAGGGGGCAGCACTTTCCTTTCTTCCCTGCAAGAATTTTCTAGGGGTCTGTGACCAGAACATTTTAGATCAATTTTTCTATTAATTAGCTTTGAAGTAGATGCCCTATGTGTCATGATGGGTTTCAGAAAAGCCCAGTATGCAGAACACCACGGAGACAGATGAAAAGTTTAACAAGTTTTATTAAGCACAAGCACATGGATTAAACACAGGAACTGGTTCAGGCCTGGGGCAGGTTCACTGGAGTCTGTGAGGATGACAGTTCAGTTAGCTTGGGAGCAGATGAGTTCGAGTTTGAGAGTTTCTGATTTATACCTTGAGGAGTCCGGGTATGGCCTTGAGAGAGGAACTGTTGGGTCCAGAGATTGTTTAGTTCAGCAGAGTTCAGTAACCGCTTCAGCGTCTTGCTTCTAGCGTGAGGGCAGACCTTGACTTTGGGTTTCCAGCTCTTAGTCCAGAGCAGCATGAGAATCCAGAGAAGAGTCTTCAGGTTTGGCTCAGAGGGCAGGCTCGGCAGGTTAAGCTCATCCAGAGCTTACAAGGGAAACTGGATTCCTGTAAGCAGAGACAAAGAGGGATTAGAATCCAACCAGGGAACAGAAGCAACAAAGGTACTCAGGAGATGCTAGGCTCAGGTGCTAACCAAACTGGATAAACACTGCGGCGTTGAGGCAAGGTCTGAAGGCCGGTTATATACTGAAGGATCCTCCTGATGATGAGATGCGCCTCAGGTGTGTCGAAGGCTCAGCTCAGGAGGATCCACGGCGAACTCTGCTGGAGAAAGGTGGAACTTCTCCAGATCCCAACAGTACCCCCCTCTCAACGACCGCCTCTTGGCGGTCCAGAAGATGTCGACGGGAGGGAGCGCTCATACTCCTCGATCAGAGAGGGGTCGAGGATGTAGGAGCCAGGAACCCACTGGCGATCCTCCGGACCGTAGCCCTCCCAATCGACGAGGTACTGCCAACCGCGACCTCGCCGACGGGAGTCCACGATCCGGCGGACGGTGAAGGCAGGATGTTGAAATGGCAGGATTTTGAAAATCGGTCGACGATGGTAAAGATTGTAGACATACCTCGGGAGATGGGAAGACCAGTGACGAAGTCGATAGCGATGTGAGACCAGGGGCGAGTGGGAACTGGAAGAGGATGCAAAAGACCTGAGGGTGGTTGATGTGAGGTTTTGTTTCTGGCGCAGGTAGAGCAAGCCAAAACATATTCCTTGACATCCTTGTGCAGGGTAGGCCACCAGAAACGTCTAGAGATAAGGGCAATGGTTCTGCTCACCCCCGGATGAGCGGAAAACTTGGCTGTATGCATCCACTGTATCAGGCGGGATCTGACTGAAGAAGGGACATAAGTTCTGTTTGGAGGACCGTTACCTGGGTCAGTTTCAGAAGCCAGGACAGAGTTTATTAGGTCGGTGATTTCCCAGGTAACCACTCCAACAGTGCAGGAAGCGGGAAGAACAGGTTCAGGCATCTTGGATTGGTCAGTGGAATAAAGACGAGAGAGAGAATCGGGTTTTATGTTCTTGGATCCGGGTCTGTAAGAAATTATGAGGTTGAAGCGTGAGAAGAAAAGTGACCACCTTGACTGCTGAGGATTGGCTTGTTTGGCAGATTGGATGTAGGCTAGGTTCTTGTGATCAGTCCAAACAAGAACCGGGTGCTCAGCTCCCTCGAGTCAGTGTCTCCACTCCTCCAATGCCAGTTTGATGGCCAAGAGTTCACGGTCACTAACATCGTAGTTTTGCTCAGCAGGGGAAAGTCTACGGGAAAAAAAAGCACATGGGTGAACTCTTTGATCCGTATCGAGTCTTTGGGATAAAACTGCTCCTACTCCAGAGTCGGAAGCGTCCACTTCGAGGATGAATTGTTTTGAAGGATGGGGCTGGATTAACACTGTGGCTCTGGAAAACAAAGTCTTAAGTTTATCAAATGCAGTTTGTGCCTCGGGGGTCCATAGGAAGGTTCTTTTGACTGAAGTAAGAGAAGTTAGAGGAAGAGCTGTCTGACTGTAATTCCTGATAAATCTTCGATAGAAATTTGCGAAACCCAGGAATCTCTGCAGCTGTTTACGGTTCTCAGGAACCGGCCACTCCAAAACTGCTTTTATCTTTTCTTTAGATGGTTTAACCTGCCCGCCCTTGAGCACAAACCCCAAAAAGGTGACTGAAGGTTGATGAAACTCGCATTTTTCGGCTTTGACAAAAAGTTTGTTTTCCAGTAATCCTTGTAGAACCAGGCGGACATGCTTCTTATGCTCAGAAAGATCTTTAGAGTAAATGAGTATGTCATCGATGTAGACAAAAACGAACACATTCAAAAAGTCTCTGAGAACGTCATTTACCAACGCTTGAAAACATGCAGGGGCGTTGGTGAGACCAAAAGGCATGACTAAATACTCAAACTGGCCCAGGGGAGTCTTAAAGGCTGTCTTCCATTCATCTCATTCTCTTTTTCTGAGAAGGTGATAGGCGTTCCTTAAATCGAGCTTAGTAAAAACAGTAGCCCCTTGTACTGGTTCGAATGCTGATGCAAGTAGTGGAAGTGGGTACTTATTTTTAACAGTGATTTGGTTCAAGCCTCTGTAGTCGATACAAGGTCTTAGTGAACCATCCTTCTTGCCGACAAAAAAGAACCCAGCTCCCAACGGAGATGATGAGGGGCGAATTATTCCAGCAGCTAATGACTCATTAATATATTTCTCCATCGTTTCTCGTTCAGGTTTGGAGATATTATAAAGTCTACTACTGGGTAGAGGAGCTCCAGGTAATAGTTCGATTGCACAGTCATATGGTCTGTGAGGTGGAAGGGACGTAGCACTGACCTTACTGAAGACAGCAGCAAGATCATGGTACTCGGAAGGGACAGAAGTAAGGTCAGGAGAGTCCATCTCCCCCCCGCCTCTAGGAGACCTCACAGCGGGAGCTGCTGAACGGAGGCACGTTTCATGACATGAGATCGACCAAGACTCAACATGACGATCAGTCCAGTTTATATGGGGGTTATGTCGTTCCAGCCACTCAAAACCCAGCACCAGAGGGGAACATGCAGAGGGAAAAACAAAAAATGTTAAGGTTTCACGATGGTTACCTGAGATTAACGGCTCGAGGGGTTGTGTTTGGTGGGTGACTTGGTGAAGTTTCTTCCCATCAATTGCGGAGACACAGAGAGGCTGGGTTAGAGGAATAGTTTCTATCTGCAGCTGCCGGACCAGGTTGTAGTCTATTAAATTCCGTTCACATCCTGAATCGATGAAGGCAGATAATGTGAGATTCTGATCTGAGAAGAATGGAGGATCCACGGCGAACTCTGCTGGAGAAAGGTGGAACTTCTCCAGATCCCAACACTATGGCAGATATTTAACAATAACAATAGGTTGCTTTTTATTAAAAAGTCATTTAAAAAAAGCAAAACAATCCACTCGCCTTTGTTTCCAAGTTTGAAGACATTTTGCTTCCCATTTAGGAAGCTTTTTCAACTCAAAAGGTCAAAATTAGCGTAGATGCCAATTCAGACATTTTGAATTGAAAAAGCTTCCTGGATGGAAAGCGAAATTTCTTCAAACAAAGTGGATTGCGTAACTTTTTTGGAATGACTATGACCTGGATAACTGAGACTCTTCATCAGTACATTAAATAGTCATGTATATTTTAGCAGCTCTAATTGACTTTGATTCAGCTAGACTCAGGGAAAAATAACTTTGGATATGCAAGGTTCCAGATCCCTGTTCTATGGGGTCAGGTATAACAGTTTGCCTTTTTGCAAATGAGAAAACACAAAAGAAAAAAAAAACAAATCAGTGAGTAAAACTTCAGGAAAAAATGGGAATCTGGTATCTCACCTCATCAATTCAAGTCAGTTTATTTATATAGCACCAATTCACAACACATGTCAACTCAAGGCACTTTACAATTCAAGTAGATCATGCTGTCAAATTAATTCAAAGTTTTCCATCTAAGGAAAACCAGTTGATTGCATCAATTCATTGACTCGAAGGCAATCCCTCAAGAAATCTCCAGAAAAACCTGGCTCAGTGTAAGCGGCCATCTGCAGAGGCCGACTGGGGTTCAAGAAGACAGAGGCAGCGATACAGAAAGAAGCAAAGATAAAAAGCTAACTGTCAACCAGCTCCATAGGTGGCGCCGTCCAGGAGACGCACAGCCAGGCAGACATGATCCGAGCCAGCTCCCATGTCAGAGGATGAAGACAGCACATCCAGCCAGTCACGGTCAGACAAACAGGATTACTCTGAAAAAAAAAAGGCAGAGCTCGAACATCTATAAACAAAGGTGTTGATGGGAGCAGCAGCACAGCTAATATATTTTTCAGATTGTGTCACAGCCAAAGGGTAACAAACAAGATGAAGCTACTATGAGAAAAAGCAGAGAGCACAGGGTTGGAGATTGAACAAACAAATTCTGCAGAGTGGGAGAGTGGAGATAGAACTAAGCAGATTTATGAAAAAGTGGTCAATATGTACTCCAGTAGTCTAAGCCTATAGCAGCATAACTATAGAAATAGCTCAGGATAACCCGAACCACTCTATAGGCTTTATTAAAAAGGACAGTTTTAAGCCTACCCTTAAAAGTAGACAGGGTGTCTGCCTCACAAACTAAATCTGGTAGCTGGTTCCACAGGAGAGGAGCCTGATAACTAAAAGATCTGCCTCCC